GGAAAGGAGGGGTAAGGAGGTTGGGAGCCACCCGCAATGCTCAGCCATCAACAGCTCTCCTGCTTGTGGCCAGCTGATGCTGAGTCCATTTTTCCTGAACTTCCACACTACCTTGGTCCAGGTCTTTTTCTTCCTCCTCTTCTCCAATATTCTTCCCCACTTTCCCTTTGCAGACCCTCATACACGTCTCTTTCAAACCCTCAGCTATCTCTGATCACCAAATGAGAGGATTCTGGTTTGCACACAGCTACTTCAAGTCAAAACCATGGAGGGCTGGTGACAGATAACTTCTTGTTAGGGAAGAGGAGGATGCTGTTCTTACTGGGACTGGCTTAATTTTATGCTGGCGTCAGCAGCATTTGATTGTCCCCACTTGTCTTTGTAAGAGAGAGTGTTAACCCATGCCAGAGCTTAGGAAATTCTGCTTCCGGATGGTTAAATGACTTCCCCAACAACTCAACTGAACTTGTATTGTTCTGTAGAATTTCACAAGCAACAAGAGACCGCCTTATTGGTTCTTTAGGATCTCTGGAAACTCCAGACCCTTTCACCTTGTTCTCTAAGGGGCCTTTCCTCTGAAGTCTGTCTCAGATTCCCTTCTTTTGGCCTCCTCCACCAGTCCTTCCTGTCTCCAGTCTGAGGCTAAACTATGTCTAGGTACTCTCCCCCATGCCAGCGAAGGCCCCAGGTCTAGGCCTTTGGTTCCTGGTGACTTGTCTCATCAACTCCTTCCCCTGCCCCCACCCTCCAGCAAGCTCAGTGCTGTCATTGAGAATTCTCTTTCCTCCCAACTCCACACTCAGCACATCCTCCTGAGCCTTTCTTTTCCCAAATTAGTCTTAGAAATTTTGTTATTGAACATTTAAATGAAAATTTTGAAGAGTGGGATCAAATCATTAATATTCCTTTAAAAGTTCCTGCAGGAGATGCTAAGGTGCTGCAGGGTTGAGAACCACACCCAAAGGGACTTTGTCAATCCATAGCTATTTGGGTGGAATAAGGTATTTTGCAACAGGAAGAGAATACTAAGTTCCCATTTTTTGTTTGCTTCTTTCAGCCCTGAATCCTGCCCGCCCTTCAGGTCTGATAATGCTTCATTGTTCATTGGAAGGAATGTTGTAGTCACACCTTTGGTGCAGGGAATCAGTCTGTAGAGCCCCTTTGACTCACCTGTTATCAGCTGATAAGCCTGTGCCTCTTAGAATATCAAATGAGAAACAGAGTGGCTAAAAGAGAACCCTACCTCCTCTGAGAGCAATTTCTCTGGTTACCTATTTATGGAGAAGGATTAGAATCCAAGAGGGTAGAAATGTCCAGCTGGAAGGAAAGTACAAGTCACCACCATGCAACTCCATTCTCCATAGATATTACTAGACATCGGGGTTTCTAGCAGTGAGTGGTGAAGAACATTTTCCCACTTCCTGGCACCTGCTCTAACCACATCTCCCATTCTCAGAAGAAACCCCTAGGGGTCTCCAAAGCAGGGAAAACTTTGGGTTACCCATCCAGGTCCAGAGTTCTGGATCTAATAGTGGCCCCACAAGCTATAAAACTATTTGCGTTTTTTCCAACCACTTGCTGAAAGAAACGCATAGGAGTAAGCTAGAAGGATATTCTAAGAAATGAAAGAAGCTCAGGGTCAGAGTGAGCCCCAGGCAAAGCAGGTGCCAGAAGTTAAGAGAGAACCAGAAAAGAGGAGACTTTGTCATGCTAACCTGACTCAGCAGAGGCAAAGGAGTGTCTGAGAACTGGCAGCAAAGACTGACCAGAGAGGCTGACAGGGCACTAATACCAAGTGCTCCTGCAAGAAAGCAGCAGCTGCTCTCCTCATCCAGCAAGCACGGCGCTTTCACTTCCCACCTGCCAGTACTGCCATCCTTTCTCATCTAACAATGTCAGGGACAGATCCCTTCATCAGCCACAGCCACAACACACATGCTTTCAGTAACAGGTATTAGGACCACTCTATCTAAAAAGAGCCAATGCCCCCATCCTTGCTAAGAGTTCAGGAAAATTGTGATTTTTCATAAAGTGAGGAAGAGACCTTATTTATCCTTGTTAATTATTGTTTGTTTGGTAGGTTCGTTGGTCTGTTTATTTGTTTTTGTTTATTTGGTGGGTGGATTAGTTGACTGGTTTGGGGGTTAATTGATTGGTTGCTTGGTTTTGGTTATTTTATTTTAATAACATATCTTTCTAGGTGCTTCTCAAAAAGAATAAATGATTTTATTGTATGAATAGCCTGAGGTTTAAAATATCAGAACTAGCATAAGTTTTTAAAACCTCTAACAGGGCCCTGGGTAGATTTGAAGTTCAAAGATGCCCATAGGGACCTTTTATAGAGGGAAAGTTTTCCATATATCCAGTTTTCCATAAACAGAATAACCCTGAGGATATTTCCAGAGGTCTAGGGCTACCCCCAAAATATCCTCTCCATAGTTGTTCTGAACCATGGGCTCACATATCTTAAAAAGAACTATAACCACACCATGAGCTACTGTCAGAAAGTGGTGCTGTTAAGATTACCTAGCCCAGGGACTCCCAAGGTGAAAAGGATTTCCAGGAAACATAATCTTCCCAGGTTGTAAGCTGCTTGAAGGAAGAGATTATTATTCATGAAATTTCATACCTCTTACAGCATCTGGCAAAGGGTTTTGTAGATAATGTGAGCTTTAAAATACTTGAATGAACAAATGAATGGATAAAAGGACAGATGAATATACAGATATGTTAGTGTTTGAGAGTACACCAACATGTGCTAGATGAATACACAAAGTTGTAAATGAACAAATAATTAGATGATACCTACTCACATTGATTAATGAGGGAATGAAGAGCATGTGCCCAGTATCCTCTGAGACCAGCAAAGACATTAGGTAAGAATTTAGGTGACAGATGTGACACTTTAGAGTGCTCCTACATTATGAATAGATTTCAGGGGTCACTTTAGGGGACTTATGAGTTCTATTTGCCTTTCTGGGGTTACCATGACACAAGCTGGAAGCCCAAGGCCCCATTGGTAACAATTCTTCAATGAATAAATGGTCAGATCCTGATGGATGGATTCATACCATAAATTAACATATTTCCCATGAGAATGTAGTGCTCATGGAACCAAGTGCTCATGGGACCAAGATGAAGATGCTGCTTTTAGAATTCTCTTCCCAACAGTGAATCAAAGTTAAAACGAAAAGTTTATGGAGAAGAGAATCAGAATCAAGTGAATGGGCTCAGTGGCCTAGAACTAGACCTCCCTGCAGAGAGAGATGCCTGTGAGGTTGCCAGGGCCTCCATTTCTCCATTCCTCAGACACTGCGGAAGGCTCTTTAACAAATTCTGCATGATGAACTTCTCCTTTTTCAATGGTTTTCATTGATCGCCAATTCTTCCCTCATGACAAATGGCTTTGTGATACACACCATACAGTGAATAAGCTAGCAGCCCCACTGATATTGGCCATATTTGTGATGGAAATCTTCCCAAAAGATTGGAGAGCATTTCCTCCCAGTACTACCTTGTCATAAGAGTCACATTTATAAATAATCTCCTGGGACATGTTACTCCCAGAAATGATTTTCAGAGAATATTCCCTTATACATTCTTAGTATCCATTTCAGAGGATGACATTTTATGGCCAAGTTTCCAAGTTTAGAGCATACATTCTATTAGGACCATACAGATTCCTGTACCTTGACAGCAGCCAGATCTCCACTGTCTTCCCAGGATAAGCCCCCTCAATGCATTGTCCTATGATGAGAAAGTAACCATTTGAGACAGTTCTGAGTACGACCCCCCAGCTCTATATTTCCCTTCAAATGTGCTTGGAAAGTCCCAATTTCTTCAATTATAAAATAGAAATAGTTAATATTACCTACATTGCAGCAGTTTTTATGTGAGTTTAATGTTTTAATATCTGAAAAGCCCCTAATAGTTTTTAATCAACAGGAACAACTGGCTGTGACAATCAGGGTAAGACAAAGCTTGTGTTTTGTATCACATGGGTTTCAGTTCTGTTTGCCCAGAATCACCCATGCCCAGGGGCTTTCCCTTGGGAAGACACCAAAGACTCATTTGTTATCCTTTTATAAAATTCATTATACTTACAGTGGACATGTTCAGTGATTCTTTCCCTGCTTTGGCACAAGCTCATATGGGCAGATCTGTCTGCTCTGTTAACTACTGTTAGCATGTCTGACTTGTTACTACTCTCCTCCCTGTGCCCAGTCGTGGGGCTTGGCAAAATATTAAGTCACGTCACTGCACTTTAAGGATGCACTGGAAACAACTTTGGATATATCTGGTAGGAAAGGGTCTGCAGGAGGACATACAGCTTCCATCAGTTCCTGGAAAGGAGACTGGCAATGTTGAAAGACCCATGTTGAAAGGGTCATGAAATTGAAATAGCAGCTTTACTATATACACTCAAAACTCACAGTTTGCCATGACCTTTGCAAAGTGGCAGGATATAGTGTCCTTGGTATATTACTTAGCGACCTTGTTTCATTGTTTGCTATATATGAATTTTGGGTTTTCCTAAAGTGGACACAACTATATAAGCATTGAACCCATATGGAAAAACTCAAGAAGAAAGATGTTTGCTTTAGAAGTTGAAACAATACAATTTTACTGTAAGCGCTATCAATAATTTTCAATGTCACTTCAGTCAAGTCATTTCCCCTTCCTGGACATCAGATTATCAAGCTTTAAAATTAGAAAGAGAAATAGCTAAATTTTCTTGCCCCTCCCAGCTTGAACTGTCCAGAATCTTCTCATTCTATAGACATCTGCAGGAATATCCATCAATCACAGACTGTAAGTGATGGTTTTGCATTTTCCACAGTTCCACATACCTTAATGGTGACAAGGCTCACAGTCTATGGATTTACTGTTTCTCACAAGTTTGGTACTGATGAGTTGTGGTTGCTTAGTGTTACTATGCGAGAGTCTATTGACAGCATTGCTGTAGTCTGAGCTGTCTGTGCCCTACCTCTTGTCCCCAGCTATGCTACAGGCAGTGCGAGCCCTGATGGTTGTGGGCATCGTCCTGGGTGTCATTGGGCTCCTGGTGTCCATCTTTGCCCTAAAATGCATCCGCATTGGCAACATGGAGGACTCTGCTAAAGCCAACATGACGCTGACCTCTGGGATCATGTTCATCATCTCAGGTAAACATGGATTGTGGGATTCCCATTCTCACACCTGCTTCTGGGAATGTCATAGCAAACTCACTCTAGTAAAGCAACATAACTTGTCCCTACTGAATATGGCTGGACATAGATTCAGAACATTTCACGCTAGGATTCAAGATCTGAGACTAAAGCCCAATTACAATCTACAGAATTATCATAAATGCTAAGAACTCTCTTAGTTGCCTCCACGCTTATAAAAGATTCTCAATCCTCAGGTAAGTGTGTGATTTAATCTGTAAAGCATTATTTTAGTAAGACTCTAGAAAATGATTTAAAGAAAGAGTTCTTGACATCACCTAAGGACCAGGACCAAAATATTGTACCATTGTTTTAATTGAAGTAACATTGCATCATAATATTATATAAGTTTTAGGTGTGCATCTTTGAAAACCAGCATGGGTATATACTACATTAAGCTCACCACTAAAAGTCTACTTCTATTCTTCACCATATACTTCGTCCCAGTTTATCTACTATACTCCTTTCCTTTAGTTGTCTATGTAATTGATCTTACAGTCTAAAATTTGTTTTTCTTTTATTTAGTTCATTCATTTGTTTTCTCTCCATACCACATGTAATGAAATCATATGGTGTTTGTCTTTCTCTATTGCTCTTATTTCACTAAGCAAATACCCTCTAGGTACATCATGTTGTTGCAAATGACAGGATTTCATCTTTTTAAGAATTGAATAGTATTCCATTGTGTATATATACTACATCTTCTTTATCCATTCCTTCATTCATGGGCACTTAAGCTGTTTTCAGCTCTTGGCTGTTGACAATAATGCTTTTAAAAAAATGGGGTTGCATAGCTCTTCAAATTAATGTTATTGTTTTTTCCTGGGAAAGCACCCAAAAGTAGGACAACCCTTGACTCCAATGTGTTTGTAAAATCTCATTCTATGCACATACAACTCCTTTCACAATTAGTAAGATTTGAGATTCTAAGAACTTCACAATGTCTAGTGGGAATTTAGCAATGGATGCTTATGTTGACCATTCTGTTATGGGAATGGAATATTCTTTGACATGCTCACATAAAATCATTTAAGCATATTTGCCTCAGAAACATTGTGTTCCCTTTATAACCAACTCTGGAGCTTTCTTATTCTTGCAACACAGGTATTTGTGCCATCACTGGAGTGTCTGTGTTTGCCAACATGCTGGTTACTAACTTCTGGATGTCTACGGCTAATATGTACACTGGCATGGGAGGAATGGTACAGACTGTTCAGACCAGGTAACTTCTTAATCTCGGTCTCATTATTGTATGGTGAATATTGTTATAAAAATCCGGTTAAACACACATACCTAATGTGACTGTCAGTGCCTGAAATAGCAAACATTTATCAGAAGCAACCACACCATATTATAAATCAAAAAATGATCTGTAAATTCATAAACTTCATTTCAGTGAAATATCCTTGGTGATATGTCTTGAGGCTGATCTGACATTTGCATTGAAATACAGCAATAGTTTAGTATTCATCTAATACTCTTACCATGACCCATTGTGGTGGAAATGAAACAGAAACTATTAACCCAGGCATGTAAATGAGAAACACATCTCCAGCCCATGATGGTAACCTGGCTCTGGACAGGTAAAAACTTTATTAGAAGTGCAGTATCAGTGAGGAAAAGCAATGATACTGTCTGGTACAACTGCCTCTTTTTTCCATTCATTAATATTTTCATTTTATAAATGTATTTAGCACCTGCTCTGGACCAGGAACTGTTCAGGGTGCTAGAGATAAAGACAAATTCCCCATTCTCACAGCAGTCACAGTCTAGCCAAAGGAGATGAAAACCAGCTATAATTTGTTATCAGAAGGATAGTAGAACTTTCAAAAGATGGAAACTTTTGGTAACTTCAATGACAATGGCAACTTCAAATCCTGTGTTTATTTCCCCACCACTTCAAAGGGTCATATTTATAGCAAGAAGCAGTAGCAAATCCCTGAAGGAAAATGATCTTGTTCTTTGAGAGTGATATAAATATTAGACCTAAGTGGCCAGTCATCACTGGAGTAAATATACTTGGTGTTTCTCCAACCTCACCAATGTGGGGTACAGAAAGAGTGTGAAGATGTAATAAATCCATTACTCTCGGACTCCCTAGAACTCCAATCCCCACTCATGTTTCTGCTTTGTTTCAAGAATGGAGTTCAACAATGGAAGTCAAGAACGGGAAGGAAATGATCATCATAATCTCCTATCATTCGTCCCTTGATTACAAGAGCAACTTAAAAATAGACTGCACCATTCATCCTGGTTCTCCTAGGACTTTCCCAGTTTTAGCTTTGAAAATCCCACACCCTGGGAAACTCCTCTGTGAGCCATGGGCAAATCTTCCTGCTTACAAGAGCCCACCTTGCCTGGACTATCTGGGTCCCTGTGTCAGTGACTCTCTACCCAACTCTAATATCTGCCATGACTCATTCATACCATCTCCCTAGAACCTTGGGCAGGTGACTTCAGTCCTAAGATTGAGACTACAGGATTGTAAAAGTCTCCTAAAGATATCACACTCCTTCCAGTATAGTTCAGTGGTTAACAATGAGAGCTTTGGAGGCAGAGTACCTGGCAAAGCCACGTCCTTCCTAGGCCTTTGGCAAAGTTACTTGACCTCATTGATTTATAATGACTCTTAATTTACTCATTGTAAAATGGGAGTAGTAAATCCTATCACAATGACTCTTGAGAATTAAATAAAATTGTGATAAAGGAGCTTTTCATAGTATCAGTAATGACTCAATACATGTTAGTGATTGTTGTTCTCATCACTAACATTATGCCTCACTCAACCATCTAAAGGGGTATCAAGGTCAGGGACTTTGCCTGTGCCAGGGCAGAAAGACCAATGCTGCCCCCTCAGGAGAGTCATCTAGGGGGCATCTGGGAGAAGTCCCAGGAAGAGGTCATCTGTTAAGCCCCCAGTCACCCTAGGGTGTAAGAGGAAATGGGTTGGTGGTCTTCATTCCAAATACGGTAAAAGACACCAGAAATAAATTTTCTCCCAGAACTTTTCAAGAGCTGAGATCAGTCTGCCGATTTTGTCATTCACATCACCTTTGGTCATCAAGCTTATATTCTACTTTAATCCTGCTAAAATGTCTGTGCTTTCTAAGTATTCTAAAGTACCTTATTAAGTTGCAGAGGTCCACACCCACATGGTGTCTTCCTAGTGTGGCTAAATGTTCATAGCATGTGATTTTGACCATGCCAACTATTCACGGTATTCCATGGGCAGCCCATGCTCTTTGAGGAACACAAAGCAAAACCTCAAGGGCAAGAATCCACTTAGCTGAGCTCTCTTTTCCTGTGGGCTCTTGGAGATGAAGGTGAAGTTACCAGCTAACATTCAAATGCTCACTGATATCCTGAGAGTTACTGGTCACTAAGGATTTAGGGATACTTCTCTCCAGATATTATCCACAAATATCTATCTAAAATCAGAATTACTTTATTTGGGGGGATTTTGTTCCCAACCCTGCTCTAATATTATTGAGCCCCAGGGGAGGCAGCCCACAGAGGGAAAGGGCACCAGTTTTGGAATCAGACCACCCCAGGATATAATTCCAGCATGGGCTAGAGTGCTGGTGGGTCTATGTCTGTCTTGCTAGAATGAGGGTAGGTCTGTGTCTTGTTCACCCCTTGGTCACAGTGCCAAGGTAGAACCAGGCACATAGTAGGAGATCAGTAAATACTTGTTGAGCAGGTATATAAATAAATGAAAGAATGGTCTCTTCACCTTCATCTATTCTGACAATAGATGAATACATCGAGTCCCATCCATTCTTCCTGCATGGATAGTTGTGTGATTTGACGTACATAAAGTGAATACTCTTGGCCCACAGTAGGAACTCAAGGACCAAAATTCCCTCAAAAACAATAACATGAGACTGATGCCACCTCTTTCAAACTTTTCTTACAAACTCTCTAGACACTTACCTTTGTCAATAGGGACAGCACAGTATTTCCTGATATGTTTCTCTAAAACATCTTGTAGGGTCAGGAATAGACACGGAGCAGGATCTCTATGATCCCATGCAGACTGGGTAAAGGAGGAGTCAGAGTCCTCAGTGGCTTTTGCAGGTCTTTTATTTAGATTAACCAGGCATATGACAGGCAGGGGTGCTGGGGGACCGGGAGGCTGGCAGTTCTCACAGCCCCCAGCAAATCTTCACTCTAGCTGGGCTCTCTGGCGTTCTCTCTGCTTCTCTGTTCTTCCGTTCATTCTGCTGCTTCTCAGCTTCTGCTGGCGTCCCCGCAACACCGCCCTTATAAACTCAGTCTCTCAGCCCAGGTGTACCCACTTCAGGTGCCCGCCATCAGGCATGCATTCAGGACCACAGGTTTCCCTCATCTATCCTAATGGCGGGAGAGCAGAAAAGCCTGATACTTTTTCCTTACCCTACACATCTATATAATTATTTCTATGCCTGAGTGATGTATCAGTCCAAGAACCTCACTGCTGTTATGCTGACTAGCTTCAGTTCCAATTCTATTCTCCAAGGTACCTGATTCAGTTGCTTGTGACCCAATGGAGTATGTTTTCAGGGAGGCAGGGAGAGAGATAAGACAGGAATCCAAAAGTTGGGGACAGCCAGGTGCAGTGGGTAGAACCTTGAAAGTTGAGTCCCACATTCACAGCCAGCATCTCCCTGTTCAGGTATACCTTTGGTTCAGCTCTGTTCGTGGGATGGGTTGCTGGAGGCCTCACGCTAATTGGGGGTGTGATGATGTGTATCGCCTGCCGGGGCCTGGTACCCGAGGAAACTAGGTGAGTATCCCCATCCCAGTGCAATCAGACATTTGATCCAAGTCCATGTTAATGTGTAATTTACAACTGGAATGTTTAAGCATATGAAAGAACTTCATTGACTAAAGTATCATTGAAACTTCTCTTTTCAATGATTGGAGAGGACCTAAAGAACAGATCAGGAATATTTCAGCCTGAGCAGATTTAGGTGAGATTCTATTCGAAGGGGGGCAAAAATCCCTCTAGGTACCCTCTGGCTTCCACAGCCTATTGACTCAATGGTTCTCAGCTGGGAGTAATTTTCCCCCTGCCCTAGGGCTATTTGGCAACATATGAAGACAATTTTGATCATTACAACTTTGGAGTACAAGTGATACTTGCATCTAATGGGTAGCAGCCAGGGCTGGTGCTAAAATCCTAACAATGTACCAGACAGAGGCCCACAACAAAAAAGCATCCGTTTCAAAATATCAGCCTTACTGCTGCCAAGAAACCTGCCCTGATTCTGGGAGTGGACCCAGAGTAGGGAGACTTGGATTGGGTTCTACTGCTATCTAGCCCTGTGAGCCCCTAGCAGGTTATTTGCCCTCTCTGGGTTTCTGTTAGCTCACCTATCAATGAGTAAATGAGAGATGGCTCCTTCCTGCTCACAAATTCTATGATTCTTTGGCAAAATCACATTCTCTTGGATATTGTTTCTGGTTCATTTCCTTTTGATTGATTAATAGAGGGAACTCACTAGTCATTACCTACAAGCTTAATAAAACTCTAATACAAAGCCAGAAATTCTGCTCCATAGCAGAGGCAGAAAACCAGTGTCCCAAAGACTAGGGTGACCAACTTCTCAGTTTGCTCAACAATAAGGGGCTTCCTAAGACATTGGACTTTTTTTAAAAAGGTTTTATTTATTTTTGTGTAGAAGAACTGGGCTATAGGCCAGACGTGGGGGGGTGGTGAGAGGATCCACCAGAGACAGATTGGGGGGCAAAGCAGGTGGATTTACTGAAATACGCTGCTGAGGGGAGCCGCAGGCGAGACAGGAGCGGTCTGCTGTGCCATGTGGGTGAGCTCCCTGGCTGGGGATAACTCAGGCCATCACCATGTGTTTTTGCTGTGGTAGAGCTGAGACTTAACCCCTAGGCCACCAGGGAAGTCCCAAGACATTGGACTTTTAGTGCTAAAACTGCGATGTAGCCCACAGTAAATGGGGGCACTCCTACCAAATACATCTAAGGTCATGGAATATTTCTCTTTCTTTCAGCTACAAAGCAGTTTCTTATCATGCCTCGGGCCACAATGTAGGCTACAGGCCTGGAGGCTTCAAGGCCAGCTCTGGTTTTGGACCCAACCCCAAAAACAAGAAGATCTACGATGGGGGTGCCCGCGCAGAGGACGAGGCACAGTCTCACCCTTCCAAGTACGACTATGTGTAGTTTCCATCACACCTCGGCTTGGGCAGAAGAAATTCCCCAATTCACTCAAAAAAAAAGGACTTTTTTACCTTGATTTGGAAGTTAGAAAAGTCTTGATTTCACTTTTGGTGAGCCCACAGGTCTTGGTACATGTCTCTCTCAGTGTTCATCACAAAGCAGCTGAGTTATCAGGTATGAATTAGAGGCTTCAGCTCATGTTTTTCAATCCTTTATTTCATTTTTAATTATGACCTTTCTAATCTAATGAAAGAACTGGATTTAAATTCCTATCAGAGTCATGGATGATTTCGACCGACTCTGCCTCCTCCTGGTTGGTAGCCTATTGATTATCTATCTCCCAATTCCATCCCTGAAAATTTTTAAAAGGCAAAAATAGTCAACCAAAAGATACCATTTTCTGCTATTTGACTTTTTACTTTCCTCTCCTCTCCCCTCCCTAACTACTAATAAACACTGATTGAAGAAGTAATAGGGAAAGATATTTGTAATGTTTCCAGCTCATTATCTGAGTTTCCTACACTGTGATTGAACATTACCTAGAATAGTGATTCCAGCCTTTCTGCTTCTGTTGGCATCTGCTAGACTTCTCCATGGGCTTTCTGAGCTCCCCACTTCATGTCCTCTTTCAGTCACACACCAGAAAGTCTCTCAGAGGAATGAGAAAAGATTTTTTTTCTGTAATCTAAATATTTTTGATATTCTAAAGATGGTTAGGATAAATAATGTATTAGTAAATGGTACACTGTGAATTAGCTTCACTTCTGCACATGGAAAATGAAAAATTAATTCTTTTGATGTTTATACTGTTCTTTATAAAATCACACAATTCAGAATTTCATAAAATACTCACTGATCCTAAATCTTTGAGATCTCCAGGACTCTGATTATACATGACAGTCAGTATAACTCGTGTTAAAAAAAAAAAAAAGAAAGAAAAACAAATAAGGGAACACAGCAGGTCCTAAGAAGTGAGTTCAAACCTGTTCTTTCAAAAAAAAATTAAAAGGTGATTAATTTAACATTGGGTTTACAAGTGCTGGAATCCATGCTTACATGCTACAGGCAGTTAACTGTAGCAACTAAGAGGCACTGTGGTTAACTTGGTTACTCTGAAAGTTTGTTCTCACTCAATTCACCTGGAAGATTTGGCTACTTAAAAACTTAAGACTTTGCATCTACACACCTTCCCTTTATTTACATCACTGCTGCAGAAAACCAAAATGCATTTTTCCAAGCTGCCAGGATCCCATCCCAGCACCAAAACTAGAATAGACCCCCTGTGAAACTGAGTTAAGGACAGTCTCTCAAACCCACCAAATTAAGGAGCAGCATTGGCCCTGGAGGAATCTGACCATTGGGTTATTATTGTGGATTAAAAAAAAGTATCATATGAACAGTGCCTATAAATTTGGCCTCCAAGAGAATGGATAAATGGTCATAGGGTCCTCAGGCTAGACAGACTGCCGGGGGAAAGACCATGTCCCATTAAACTGTAAAGAGATGTGTTCACTAAGAGCCAAGACAGTCACGTCAGAGACCCTTCTAAGTGAGACAGAAAGGATTTAGGCCAAATCAGTTAGGGCACTCATGGAGCTCATTGACTGAAATGGAATAAAAGAGAAACAAATTAATCAAGAAAAAGAAAGTAGGGGGTGGGAATATGGAGAGTGTTAAGTGTTCTCAAGATTTAAGTCAAAGATCGTGGGGTATCATAGCTATCCCTCCTACCACCACTAAGTCCCTGGTCAGTTTGAGATTAAAATACAGCTCAGTTGGGTTTTGAATTAGTACATTCTCTGCCCAACACATAATTGTTTGAACACCTCCATATATTTAGATTGTGCTTTGTAATTTTTGGTTTCTCCTTCTTATTGTGTATGCATTGAACTATTGACCTCCATGTTTTGTTACTTAAATATTAAAAATGCTGTTATCTTACATTTGAATAGTTTCTGCTCTTTATTCCAAGCTTAGGAAGTAAAGTGGGAGTCACAGTACCTCCAAACTGAGTGCATAGTGCATGTGGTGATCCTATACTGTCAAAAATTAGCAAGGATTGAAGAAAATGGTACTTCATTGAAAAAAAAATTTTTTTAAGATTCATACAAGCACTGGGTACAGTCAGAAGCTCGGGAGGGTGAGAGAATTCACCAGAGCAAAGAACAGAACAGGCAGACTGACGAAATACACTGCTGAGGGGAGCAGCGGGCCTGGAAGGAGAGGTCTGTCGTGCCATGTGGGACCCTCGCTGGCGGCCAGGGATCGAACTGGTGCTGTAGAGGCTGTGGGCAGCTTCGCAACCCAGTGCTCAACCGCTGCACCACCAGGGGAGGCCCTCACTGAAAATTTTTAAAAAGCTGAGTGCATCTTCCCAGAATGTTTCTTCTTGCAGAGTCAGCAGTAGCCTGTCTGCTTGGGAATCAACTAGGTCTGATCCAGCACTTGAGAATTGTGAAACTAGGTCAGCTTAAAAATCCAACTAGGACTAGACCTCTATAATTAAGTTTATACATAAGTTAAATAATATACAGTCATTAAATTATTAAGATTTTTTAAAATATTAATTGTATTAAATGGTACATTCAAATACATCCTGGAAAGAAATATTTTCCAAAATATATTTAAAGTTGTTTCCAGTTGGGGATATAATGATACTTTTTTCTCTTAATTTGTACTTTTCAGTACTTTCCTAATTTTTTCCAATGAGAATATCTTTTTTTACTACCTAAAGAAGAAAAATACAAATAAAAATTAATGAAGAATCAAAACACAGAAAATTACATCTAGACATAACAAACAATGTGAATATATTTAACCGTTACTTAACTGGATACCTAAAATGGTTAATATGGTAAAATGTTTGGTTTTTGTTTTTTTTTTTGCATGATTTTAAAATAATAATAACATCCAGACACAAAATCCACAGGGCAGGTTCTGCTTTCTACCTGGAGACCTGACATTCTCAGGCAACTTAGTAGGAGGATATTGATAAGTCACGACTGAGTCTCTGTTTACTCTGAACCAACAAAGAGCTCTACTGGTCATGCACCCAGAAACTAGCCTCACATGTGTTAGTTTTTCTTCTCCTTTGACACCATTTGGCATTCATTTTTCCATTTAATTACCCCTACTCACTTCTGAAGGTGGGAAAGCAGAGATCCCACAAGGATCACAAGGACCAAGACAAGCTCAGGACCGTGTTCTAGCATGTCAGGGCAGTCAGAACAAGGACTGGAGTCCACACCCAGATTTAACCTCTTACTTTTTCCATAAGGCCACACAGACCCCATCTCTTCACTCTCATCCCATTTCCTCCCCATTTCCCTACTCCCTTATCTAGCCAGGTAAGTCAAACTAAAAGGGTTAAGATGGGTGAGCTTTGAGCAGTTGCCTGGCCTTCCACTTCCCCTGTGTAGGGAAAGACCCAGCGCAGACCCTCCGCTCCCACACATTCCGTACCTGGGACACATGAGACCTGCAGCAGTAAGAAGGGAGTTGGTAAAAGCTGTGTCTTGTATCTAAAGAGGAAAATTTTGGGGGTCTCATTAAGTTTCTCAGGGTTTCTAAGAAACAATCTTAACCTTAGTAAATGTGTTACCCTTTGACTCTACCCAGAGTTAGCAATCAAGAAAAATTCAACACTCTTTTTTTCCTTTCCAATTTTTATTCCGCCCCCGTCCGCAAAAAAATATAAAAAAATAAAAAAAATAAAAAAAAAAACATGACAGGGGATTAGGAAGTCCATGAAGAGTATTCAGTTGGACAGAAATAACAAAGACCAAGTTCAGCTGGTAAGGCCCTATTTTCCCACTTTTAAAAAAAAAAGAAAGTCAAAGCTTTCTCAGTGTGGGAGAGGACAACTTTTCCTCTTAAATGGTGCAAAATGAGTTAGAAAATCTCTGATTTTGTCTATTTATCCTTTTCTTTCTGTTCTTTTTCTTTCTTCTCTCATTCGGCCTTCACTGCCTCTTCCTTGTATTTTTTGATCAACTGTTCCACTTCCTTTTATTTGAGAACTCTGATGCTGTCTTTCCATTCTCTCATCAGTGTGACAATTTCCACTTTTTCCGCAGTTTACTAACATCCATGGTCTTATTTAGAACTTTGATAGCTAAAGCAACTGCTGACTTCAAACTCACTTCTCCTTCTTGGCAGTCTTGTTTACCACTGTCACAGCTGCAGTGCTATTATTTCCAATGCATGTGGCTTTCCCACCCCATCGTTTCCCCTAGGATCACTATGATGGAGCCAAAAGCCTTAGCACTTATATCAGTCAATATTACAACAATGAAAGCCCAAAGGAACATTTTCCTCCAAACTGTATGAGCTTGTTCAGTATCACACAGTGCTATAACCAAATGCTCACAAGGAAAAGGCTGCTGAAACTGTAATACATACCTTTGAGCACTGAGCCTCAGTTCACTAGTCAGAACATTTACATCAGAATTTATACCTGCCACACTGCAAACCTCGTTCTCGTTGAATTTATAAATTCTTTGGGGGAAAAAAGACTTCATCAAGAAGCTTGTGTATGTTGCCTCTTGGGAGTAAACAAAACACTATGATTTGCTAAAATTCCCAAAGAGGTGCCAGTATGCATGTCCAGTCGCTTCCATGCATATTAGACTTGGCATAGCAACCTTCTGGAGAAAATATGGTGGTCCTGGAGTCATATTTTCCAGACATGTTTTATCTGAACTTTATGACATTCTGGAGGAAAGATACTGAAGAGAAAAGGGTTCTGGAAGAGAAAAACTGAGAATTCACTGTGAATATGCCTCCCCCCCCACTCTGGTAGTTTTTTTTAACAGGGCAAAGCAAGGTTTTAGAAACTCAGGCTTACATAAAAATGAAGAAAACATAATAAATTCCCCTTCCCTGAAAGACACAAGAATTGAAAAGTGTTGATTGTAGAAGTGAATGATGGCCAAAAAAATTACCTTGAACCTTTAGAAAATGTAATTATTAATATTACTATCATTATCATCAACTGAGATCTGGCAAGTCTCAGACAGCTTAAGGTCCTTTTTCTTCACAATGGTGCGTGCTCAAAATAACCCATGAGACAGGTATGATAGTTACACTTGAGGGAGTCACACCATCTCAGCCAGGTCCTTATCTCATGCCCAAGAACACTGAGAACAGGGACCAGAAAGGGACCAGCTCTTTATTTAAGTGACAGGAAATCTCCATGCAACAAGGAGGGGGTCCAAAAGGGTTACCACTGAAGTGCTGATGTCCGTGGTCTTTTATGCTAAATATATGGGGAAGTAGCTTGCTAAAGAGTGTTGAAAACACACAGGGAGGTAAAACACAGCTTGCTAAAGATTAACCCATGCAGCTCAGAATGTGGGACCACTAACCCCTGCTTCTACTATCTTCTTACCAGGCATTTTAGGCTATTCTTGTTTGAGGGACAGGGCTGACAATTTTCCACTCTCCGTGAGGCCTCTACCTTATCTGCCTAACCAGAATCTGTCTTATTATTATTCCCATTTCACAGATGAAGAAACAAAGGTCAGGGAGGTTAAGTATCTTGGCCAAGTAAGATGACTAACTGTTCTCCGGGTTTAGCACTGGAAGTCCTGAACTCTAGAAACTCCTCAGCCCCCAGATATTTAGAACAGTTGATTACCCTATGCCAAGACTATAAAGCAAATAGGAAAGCATGGACTCTGATCAGGGTTTGTCTGCTCCATACCTCACTCTTTTTTCTACACTACCA